AAGTAAAAATTTTCCCAATTTTTTATTTGGAAACCTAAAAAATGACCTTCCCTTTTTTAGTATTTTATAGTAAGGGTTTGACCGTGATAAGTAGTGTGACAAATCAAAAGTGATGAATAATGCTACCATTTTCCATATTTTATATTCAAACATATGAGATTCATTATGATTATTATTAAAAAAACAATGTCTATGTTTTAGAATAGTGCAATGGTAATAGTTTTAAAAATTGGATTGAATCGGCCACTTCGACTTGGATTGGAAACCGGCTTGCTTCATTGAAGTGAACCGATTGCCTGCTAATCGGTCAACTACTGTTGGAATTGGCGAAAACCAATTAAAATTGGCCAAAAATTGGTCAATTGAATCCATCCTTGTTTTTTTTTTAAAAAAAAAATAGATTTTAATATATTTTTTATAAAAGTACATATTTAAATATAAAAAATATGTATAAATGGTTGTATAAGCTAGTTAGGTATTTGAATGTCTTAATTACCTAAATATTCAATGATTAGTGTTTTAGGTGTACATATTATTTCTTCAAATATTATACATTTAAGAATATTCATAAATTTAATATCAATCCAACCGATTAAGCTACTAGTTCGATTAGCAAATTATTGAACCATATTTGTTCAACTCTAAACCTTCATAGTGATTAAAAAAAGACCAATATTTCTAATACATTCTGTCTCCTATAGGGTTTCTGCATGTTAGTCTAAATAACACAACTTGGTGGATTGTGCTACTAATGGAGTTAGTCAATCAAGGCGAGACGAGTCTAACTCTTAAATTTAATGACAATCCAACCGATTAAACTACTAGTTCAATTAGTAAATCATTGAACCAATAGATTGGCTTGTTCAATTCTGAACCTTTTCACAATCGTTAAAAAAAGGCCGATTCTTTTAACACATTTTGTCTCCCGCAGCGCTTCTGTCCTTGAGTCTAAATAACACAACTCTGTGGGTTGTGCTACTTAGTCAAGGTGATGTTAGTCAATTAAGGGTGAGGTGAGTCCAACTCTTAAGCTTGCTCAAGTGGGAAGTGGATTTAAAGACGTTACAACTAAGCCTAAATTAAAGATTCTTTAGGATGAAATTAGAAGGCACATACACTTAAGTCGATTATGTTGGATGAAGGAGAGACGAATGCATACACAATCGCTACATACTCAATTGTTTTCAAGAAGACGACGTCAGATGATTCTTACATTTAATTGATTATTGGAATGCAGATGAAACGAATACAAATACTTTTAAGAAGATGTTACGTCAATGACAATAAATTTAATTGATTATTTAGCTGAAGAGGGATGAATAGTTGTTGGGGTGCTTTTATGAATCTGTTACGTGAACGATAACGGGTTCTTTAAATGAATAGTACATTTTATCCTTTTAAAGTAGTATTGCATTAGTCCATGCATGATTCGACCTATATATTTTGTAATTAATTGCATAGACTTAATTGATATCTCATATAAGAATAAAATAGATATATGTATTGTGCTGCAACATAGACATAAATAACACAACTTGGTGGATTGTGCTACTTAGTCAAGAGTGGTGCCAGTCAAGCAAGGGTGAGTCGAGTCTAACTCTTAATGTTGCTCAAAGGGAGATGGATTTAAATACATTACAACTAAGCCTAAATTATTGGATCCTTAGGATAAAATTAGAAGGCACATACATTTAAGTCGATTATGTTGGATGAGATAGAGATGAATACATATATTCACTACATGCTGGATTGCTTCTAAGAGTACGACGTCAGATGATTCCTACACTTAATTGATATCGGATGCAGACGGAGCGAATACAAACACTTTTACACGTCAGTGACAATAAATTGAATTGATTATTTAGGTGAAAAGGGACGAATAGTCGTTGGGGGTGCTTTTATGAATCTGTTACGTGAACGACAACAGATTCTTAAAATGAATGGTCCATTTTACCCATTTAACATGATATTGCATTAGTCGATGCATGATTCATAGACTTAATTGACATCTCATATAAGAATAAAATAAATACATGTATAATTTCTAGTTGCTTAGACGCCAACAGTCTAGTAGGTTAATTGATTATCTCTTATAAGGATGAAATATACATTTATAATTTGCCAATTGCTTGTGTGCATACATTGAATTGATAGTGTTAATGTGGATGAAATAGCTATTGAGGTCATCAATAATGGTCCATTAAGTTGCCACTTTAATTAAAACTCCTACAATAGCGAACATAGTGTACTAAAAATGGCGATCACTTTTAGTACACTATCTTGGTTTTTGTATGAATTTTGATTAAAGTGGAAACTTATTGGATCATTCTTGATGACGCCCTATATGATGAATATTTTTTCGAAAAATGGCCAACATAGTGAACCATTTTTTAAATTTTGCCAACTCAAAATTCACTTGTTTACAGAAGTGTTGCATTAATTGATATGTGATTAAATTTCTATACCTCGCAATCTATTAAGAATATAATAGTTGGAAATAATGCTACACTTTTCTATATTTTATGTTCAAATATATGAAATTCATTAGGATTATTTTTTAAAAAACATTAATGATATGTTTTAGAATAATGGAATGTTCACAATTTTTAAAATTGGATTGAACCGGCTACTCTGACCCATTGGATTGAATGTCGGTGTGAATCACTCGAGTGAGTTGGTTGTCAACAAATAGGTCAACAATACATGAATTGGCCAAAACCGACGCGAATTGACCAAAATTTGGTAGCTGTGCCAATCTATTTTCTTAAGTAAGATATAATATATTTTGAAATATTTGAAATATAAATAAAAGTACATTTTTAAATATAATAAACATGTATAAAGTGTTATATAAGTTAGTTTATGCATTAGAATGTATTGAATAGTGTTTTGGGTATGAAAATTATTCTTAAAATACTTTATATTTTAAAAATATTCATAAATTTAATATTAATTAAA